GTATCCAGTACAGTACTTGGCACAAAGTAAATCCTCAATATGTCTTCATTGACTGAAATGATAGTTGAGTAAAGGAATGAATAAATGAATAAACAAAAGGCAGGCAATAACTCAAATGTCTATTTAATAAAAAGTCTGTATATCTTTTGGGTGATATTCAACAACTGCACAATGTCTAATATTACGTAAAAGCCAGGTTAGACCCATTTTAATGAATGTATTATTATGTTTCATACCTAATGGAATAAAGGAATTTTCTTTTGACCTTGTTCACATCATATATTTAATATAAGCCAACCTTTTAAGATTTGAGTACCACTTACAATTTATATTATTATTGTCATATTATTATTATCATTATTATTTTAATTATTTCAATGTGACTAAAACCCTTTCTACACATTCCTTCTTTTTGGGGGGTCTGCTCTGGCATACCAACAATTTCTTATTGTGGCATATTAAACCCTATCCAATAAAAATTATTGAACTTTAAATGCATGCAAAATAAAGAATAAAAAGAAATAATATCTGCTGTTAAAAATGTTAAAGGCTAATGGAGCTTAATTTATGTACCCAAATCACATAGACACAGCCTATATAGTAAGTGAACTCAGGATTGGGGGAAGAAGATCATGAGGAAAAGTTGGCCTAGGCAAGTTGAGTTGAACTGTGTTTGCAGAGTAGGCATAGAGAGTGTTATTTCCAAATGGATTGAACAGAATGAATAAGAGCCAAGAGGAAGGAGTGCATAGATTATAAAGATAGGCCTGACTGAATGCAAACAGCCTAGAGCAAGGATAAATGGGGAGATGAGAAGCACTGGATGTCCATGTGGAGAGAGACAAACATAAAATTTGTGGAACTGGATTATGTTGAGGTCTTCTATGCTTCTATGAGCAGAAAGTGATTCCCTTACATGCTGGAAAATATTAGACTAGTCTTAAACTAGCACAGAGGCCCTTATAGAAACACTTCTTTTTAGTACACTAGCTTCATTTATTAAGGAAGTTCTTACTGCCTAAGCTTTCTACTTGCATCATCATCCTGATGCTCATAATGACTCTGGGAAATAGGTCCTTTCATCCATAAAAGAAGAGAAAACAGTGGCTTTGAGAAATCAAATAACTTTCCCATAGTCATCCAAGCTGAGCTTAACCTCTGTGACTTCACAATCCATATAGTTAACACTTTCTCCTGCATTCTTAATTGGCTCCACCTCAGTCCCTTAGAGCAGTAGTTTCAGAAGATTTGTCATAGCACATATGCTTTTTTCTCATAAGGCATGTTAATTGAGTTAAAATTCAAGAGACACACCCAATTTGGTTTCATTGCACAAAGATGTTGGTGGCATGTCTGAACTCTTCTCCACCTAAGTGATCAGTGAGGAGCCACAAACAGTAAAATGAAAGTGATGTGAAAAGGAAGTAGAGTATCCCCATCCATCACAGTCCACATTCTATAGATGATTCTGATAGATGATCACCCAATCTATGCCTGAACACCTCTCCAGTGTGGGAACTCTCTCCTCATGGGGATAGTGATCCAATTTTAGAAGGTTTCCATAGATAGAGCCAAACTCCCTTCATCCCTGTATCATAGATCTGGCAAGATACAATGCCAGTCTATGGTGTCTTCTATATGGAAACCCTTAAAACACTGCTTTTTCATCTCTTTTCTCTTGGCTAAACAGTACCGTATGACATGGTTTCTAAAGTACTTAACTTACTGCCTACCCACTATACTTGCTGTCAAATTTCTCAAGGTCTTCAGTGTTTAATAAATATTATCTGAGCAGTAAAGTGATTACCATGTCTAATTTGGACCTTATATTTCTACTAAAGTGAATGGTTGTAACTTACATATTACGTTTTTAGTAAGCAGAGCACATGTTGGCACCTATGAATTGTATGCATCACCAAAATAGAGATGTTATTCACTAGAACTTTTAACAAACCAAATCTCTCTCACACTGAACATACATACATAAATTTATTGAAACCAAACTTTTAACTTGACATTCATCTATTTTGAAATGCTATCTTTTGGGTTTGGCCCACTCATCCACCCTAAGAAATCATTTGCATCCAGATTCCGTGCTCTAACTAATAAGCCATCTATAGGGAATAAGCAGGTTACACAATCACACACCTATCTTTTTAGGAGTAGACAAATTAATAATGTCAGAAAAATTTGGAACCCACCCCCAGAGGACATAGCATAGTCTTCTGAAATGGACTTGAAAGCACTCTTCCCTCCTGGAGGGATGTCTTAGAATAACTAGAACTCTTGCAGGAAGCTCTCTCAGCACAGAGCTGAAAGGGAAATGCTGACATTTCCAACAAAGACAATGCTTAGGAGGGAGCATCTGTGCAGAAAGCAAAACTCCTCCCTGTGAGAATAATTCCCAGGTGTGTTTCTAGCTCCGGCTTCTAGCCCTCCACCCTTGATTACTCAGACTCAATATAGCCTTCCAAGATCAGCACTAATGAAAAGATTCCATCTGGGACAACTTCCGTGACCTTGTAACCGAATTTCCACTATCATTCCAGACAAGATATCCACTATCTCTGAACCCAGGGTGTCATTTAAAATGTCAAATGAAACAGGAAAGAGATATGAAGGCACACTACTAGAGACTTCCCATAGGCTCAATGTTGATCATATAGGATCCATATACAACTTCAGACAGAACAACCTGGTTTGGTAAGGATGAGAGAATAGGGAAAAACTTGTATGTTCATTAGAACTCGTTTGTAAGTTGGCCATGATTCTTATTTGGGAGGGGAATGTACCAGAATCTAGGTGAGTTTGGAGAAGTCTTCTGAAAATTTTATACCTTTTCCAACCCTCTCATGGATCAGTATCTGCCACCCAGAGCCACCTTAACTGAGACAAATGTGACAGTTTTTCAGTCCTGTTTGTTCAGAGGAAAAGGAATCAGAAACAACCCACTGGGGGCACCTGGATGGCTCAGTGGTCAAGCATCTGCCTTTGGCTCAAGTTATGATCCCAGGGTCCTAAGATCGAGTTCCACATCAGGCTGCTCACAGAGAGCCTGCTTCTCTCTCTGCCTATGCCTCTGCCTCTCTCTGTATCTCTCACAAATAAATAAATAAAGTCTTTAAAAAAAGAAAAAAAAAACCTTCATTGGAATAGAGAGAGAAACCCATAAGCCCTAAGTCCCTTGCTCCATTACTGTGGTCTATCAGTGGAGTTTCGTGTAAAGAATGGACTCCTGGGCTTGTAGACATGATCATGCTGGATCTTGTTGGGATGACCAAGCCTTGTGTATTCATGTCTATGGAGCATTGTACTGGGAAGGTAAGTTAGGATTCCAATACAACAGACCCACCCCAGAAACCAACCTTGGTAGTGTCACCCTTCCTTTTTGGTAGGAGCATGAAATCCCTTTCCTTGGGTCTCTCCCTGTTAAAGTCAGGGTTATTTTTCCAAGGAACTAAAATCTAAACACAGAGCAACTATTTCAGCCATATAATTTTTTTTGGTCTGATTTTACGTCTGAGACTATACTGCAAATTGCTATGACACAATCACTTTGAGGGAAAAAAGTGAATTAAAATTGGTGTGTATGTTTGCACGTGTGCACACACAGGTGATTTAATTTAGAAGGTATCTCAGAGCAACTATAAACCCCTACATTTTGCATTATTATAATCCCCGGTGCAGAAGATTTCATGTTACTGATAAATATGTCACACAAAAATGAAAGCAAAATAAAAATAGAATCATGATAATTATTTGTTTTAAAGGTGCATATTATTGGAGAAATCAACATTTCTATGTTAATATAAATAATTTGTACAAAATACTGAAATCATCTCAGCAATTTATGTTACACATTCTTAGTCTTAAAAATATTATTAAATCTTCAATATAATCAAGTGTTGAAAGCAAACTGAAAAGTTACGAACACATTACATGCAATTCTCTTATCTTGGATTAATTTTTTTAAAGATTTAATATAGCATTTTAAACAGAAAAGTATGAAAACGTAACATATACTTATGTATGTTTGGATCAATTTCTAATAATATAATATAGTATGCAGCATTAAATTCAGTACATTTTCTCAACTTCATTTCCAGTATCAATTCTATTTTTGTTACAATAGAATGTTTTCAAACTAACAGGAAGAGACTGATGGCGATTATAGTTGTAATTTACACTTTAGATTTTGATACCATTCTCAGCCAGTGTCCCACAGGGTGAGTGAACATAAGAGGCATGCCACTATCTGGAGAATCTGAGCAGCAGACACACCAGATCTAAAAACATCCAAGCCCACCATTTCTTAACTCTGGAATAGGTTTTGATACTCTCCTGTGCCCAGGGATCTGGGTAATTGCTCCAACTTTCATCCCATTGGGTCAATAAAGACTTTATAAATTACTACATGCCAAATACTTTTTAAAATGAAACAAAAATTATATAGCCCTGACTCCAGCTCTAAGAAAAAGAAAAAAAACGCCTAGCATTTGACTGCTTTGATTAAAATAGGATATGGATATGAAATCCTTATAGAAGGCATTTTTGTTTTCATTTAAAAATGACAACCTGCACATTACCGTAAGTGGGTCCCCATAATTCTCTGCATTGATTTCATTTTAAAAAAATTATGGAAGATTTTTTTGAAGCAGGTAAAACTGGGTTTCTTATTTTTTTAAATAAGGAAACAATCCCAAATGAGGAACAGTAAAATAATGTATCATAGTGAATCTTCTACAAATAAAATGACCCGATCATTTTTCACAGAGTCTGTGGCAACATAGGTGGCAATTATGCAGAAGTGAAACTCTAGAAAATCAGTTCAATGCCACAAAGACATTGCATTTTAATCCTCATATATATTAAATGGAAAGTCCTGGAGAAACAGCTGCCCCTTGTTAATCAGTACTAACAAATGATGAGAAAGCCCAGAATCACTGTTTAAAAAAAAAAAAAAACAAAACACTAAATTTAAAAAAAAAGCCAAACCTTACCAGAAAGGAGCAGGCTGACTCCATAGAGAACTAAGCCGGCTAAAGAGTCCATGCTTCCCCAAATCTCTCCATCCAGTTTCCACAGATGTGCATGAGGTCCCAAGGATCCTTTCAAACACACAGAGGTTTGTGACTTTCCATTCGTATGTTCTACTAGGTCTTGTTTACAAGTCAGAGGCAAGAAGGAACAGCACAGAAGCGGGCTGTAACAGTCTCATTTCTGTCTGAGCACAGGGAGTTTTAAGTTCCTTTTTCCTGTTTCCTTTGTAGATTAGGATGGGAAAGGCTGTATCTTAAAGGCATTTAGTATCAGCAGGGCTGGGGGCACTGCAAGCCCTATCCATCTTGCTATTCATCAAAACACTTCTCTATTGCTCTTGCTTCTGCTGCTGCTTTTGATGCTGTTGTAGGGATAGAGGAATTTTTGTTGGGAGTCTGGGTCCTGGTTGGTGTTTTCAGGAACAATAGGGGTATCCTCTCTTAGGCGGGAAACAGAATAACAGCCCTCCACCTATGGATGGTATGTGGTGATGACCGGGCCCTTCTCCGCCTCCAACAGCTCTCCTACCACCCTGTCCACCTGGAATCCCTGACAGAGGGGCTTTCGGGTGTGGGGAGGAGTTTTGTGTTTGTTTTCTCATTTTAACCCACATGGTTTAAATTGGGAAAGGAAGGTTTCCATGATGAGAGAACACAACCCAAAGGCAATTAATTTGGGTAATTACCGGTGAGGTCAATGTACAATGCAGCCATGGACCAGAGTCCAAAATTGTCAGCCTGTTTTCTTTCACACAGATGGTTTATTTGTTGGCCTGAAGCCCAAAAATATCTGTGCTGCTGGCTATAGCTTTAATTTTTATTAACAATTCATCTACAGGTGATCTCATTTTTTAAAGTACTTAGCCTAGAAGAATTTAAATCATCTGGATTTCATGGTTTTGGCCAGTGGTGTTTCAGAAGCAAATTATATACAAAACTTAAAAATAACCTGTGTCAAAATCTAATATAAATTATTCAATTGGGATAAAAATAGCATTCATAAGAGCAGAGGGAGTACATAGACCAAAAATAAAATACCCATTGGCATAACCATACCTAAAATGAGATCAGAAACTCTAAATTTATCCAGAAGATAATTTCTCCATAACACAAACTATGACTTCAGAATAAAGTGTCAATGTCTTTGATCACCCTGCCTTCAAGCCTGAAGAAAGGACTATTTGCTCCTCCTTTGCCTGCTCACCATAGGATTTCTGTCCATAGGATTTCTGTCCTAGAAATGCTCATCATAGCATTTCTGTCCCAGGTTTTATCACATCAGTGGTGATCTTGAGAACCAATGGATGTTTCCAGTCTTCTCTGGTAGAAATGCACAGGCTGTTTTCCAGCAGATCTGGGTTCAAATACTTACTCAGCTACATGTTTACTTAATCTCTTTGAGTCTCAATTTCAACAGCTATAAAACGGCAATAATATTTACAACACGGGGATTTTTGAGAGGATTAAACGAGGCTGGCACAGTGCCTAATTCATAGAAGGCTTTTGTTAAATGTTAATGTATTCATTTCCTTTAGTCTTTCCATTCAGTCTCTGAGTTTGGTCCCAAGCAATTCTTCCAGAAAGCCATTCTTTCATCTTATGAAATGGCTTTAAGTTTGGTGTTATAAAGAATCAGGCAGGGAGTTGGGGTTTCTGGGCTCTAGTCCCAGCTCTGTTCTTCCTGTGAGGTCTTGGACGAGTCATTTCCCACTTGGAGGCCTCAGTTTCCTCAACTGTAAAATGAAGGATTTATACTGGATGTGACTAATTTCCCTCCAACTGTAATGGTTCGTAAGTCTAAATGACTAAACTGTCCCCTTATAGCATCTCTACATGGGTTTCTAGGTCCTCTCATCTGGGCACTTCAGAGAAGATGCTAGCTTTATATCTCTGTCATTGTGGAACCTAGAGGGTCACAGATATGCTCTATTTTAAGAACATGGTGGCTGAAACTTTGTGAGGTCCATTGGCCCCAGGCCATATGGAACAGCAATGGAAAGCCTTGGAAATAAACAAACTCCAGGGCACCTGTCTCCTCAGGCACAGCTTCCTCTGTTTGTGCTTGATGGCCCCACAAGGAAGTCATTGCTCACATGCCCTCCTGTTGGCTAGTTCTTGTGGGCCAAAGATGCTACTACCTCGCTTCCTTTTCTGGGCTGCCTCCATCTGTTATTTAGAAAATCATCTCTGTCTCATCTTTCCCCCATTATCCAGAAAGATCTACCCCTACCATGAATTGTAAGTTCTCTCTCCTTCTCTTATCCAGAATAGGTGACTCAGTTTTTTTCTTCACTCTGTAATCCAGAAATGTTGCTCATTTTGAAAAAGGCAGTGTTGCTCCATTATCTAAAAGAGGTATGTAGTTTGATCTCATCTTCCATGTAATCTTTTCTAGTGCTATCCAGAGTATTGAGTCTATGTAATAAATATTCCTAGATTTCCTGAGGCTATGATTATATCTCCAGTCAAAAGGCTGAGCAATTTTTCTTTGGGATGTCTGAATCTTAGCATGTAAATTCCTGATGTAAAGTGAAGATCACTGCGGGCAAAAGTGGCCAAACATGCTGTGCTCCAACTTTCTGCCCCGTGTATGTCAGAACATGAAGAACCAATCAAGAAACAATAATACAAGATTCACCAGGCGCTGTGGGGCCAATAGGTCAGCAGAGCTGACTGGCAACATGCTGGGAAGTTGCAAAACTGGATGGCATGCCAGAATTTCCAAGGGAAGGGAGAGGCCACTTCCACGTCTGGACAGGACTCTCCCCAGTACATAACGTATTAAGGAAATACCACATACTTGGACATGCCACAACCCTTCTCTAGATAGTTGGCTGTGGCCATCATCAGGGCATCTCCATCAGCTCTCCACCCTCAGCAGCTCCATCCACCTGGAAAGTCGAAATCATCTTCCCATCATTGCCTGACCAACTCCTCGCTACCTTTTCAGGTTCAGAAAGGTCTTCCCTGACTGCTTGATAGAAATCAGATCTCCCCGTTCTTCTCTCACAACACCATGTCCTTTTGTTCATGGTCCTAATCACAATTGGTAGTCATACATTTGTGTCCTTATCTTTATAATGTCTGTCCTCCTTTTCATAAGGCAGAGACCATATCTAACTTATTCACTGAATTCTCAGACCTGAGCATAGTGTTTGGCACATCATAAGCCTTAACTAAATACTTAATGAGCTAATGAAAACACTTTCATTATTACTCATATACTCACATCTCAAAAAGGTTTTGGGGATGCCTGGGTGGCACGCGTGATCCTGGAGTCCTGGGATCAAGTCCCACATTGGGCTCCCCTCATGGAGCCTGCTTCTCCCTCTGCCTATGTCTCCACTTCTCTCTCTCTCTGTCTCTTATGAATAAATAAATAAAACCTTTAAAACAAAAAAAGGCTTTGGACTCAGGCAAACCTAGATTCCAAATTAGAGCTATAATCGATTCACTGTATGACCTGGGCAATTCACATCTCTCAACCTCAGATTTCTCTTCTTCAAAATGAGGGATCTGGGTGGTTCATTAAGTTCATTAAGCATCTGACTCTTGATCTCAGGGTCATGAGTTCAAGCCCCGTGTTGGGTTCCATGCTGAATGCAGAGACTATTAAAGAAAAGAAATGAGGGGAAATAATGCCTATTTAACAAGATAATATATACATAGTAACTGGCACAAGTAAATATTTAATAAAGGCTTTCTACAGATTCTTTCCCTATTCATGGCCACCACTACCACCCCTGGACTGTTATATAGAGCTATTTGCAATGCAGAAATAAAGTCCCACACAGTCCAAGTAATGTGCTCAGCTGTGGGTAGCAGAGGGAGTATTAGTCTTTTGGCTTCCAATTTTTGCAAACTTAATATATGACTCTTTTTTGACATAGTTCATCTTTAGACTACCTCATGCAAAAAAAGTAGATAAAGAGAAATATAGGAAATATCATAAACACCAACAGGGTATACCCAGACCTTAGGAAAGTATGTGAAATGAAACTTTGACAGATAATGGAAAAAGCTTGACAACACTGAGGAATGTAGTCACTTCTCATTGTGCTTCCAAAATAGTAATTGCTAATATCAGGACCTGAGAGCACTCTACTGCCTTGCTCCAGGGAAATGAAAGGGAGCTTCCTTATGAGTCAAGCTTACTCAGTTTAATTTTATTTTTCTACACATACTTACAGCAGAACAAAAAAGAAAACCAAACCAGCAATGAGCAAACAAAATAAATAAAGCACTTGGCTGATTTGTTGTTTTCCATTCTCTGGTTTTTGCACTTAACATAGGAAAAAACAACTATAGAAAACATTAAAAATTTTTGAGACAGATTAACAAAAATATTAATGGACAATAAAAATGTGAAGAGATGCAGAAAGTACACAATGTTACTATAAACTGGTATTATATTAGAAGTATCACAAATATGTAGCAAAAGCTATAGATGCATATATTTTAGCTGAGAAAATCCACTTAAAATTTTTTTTTATTCATGAGAGACACAGAGACAGAGGCAGAGACATAGGCAGAGGGAGAAGTAGGAGCCCTTTGGGGACCCCGATATGGGACTTGATCCCAGGACTCCGGGATCATGACTTGAGCCAGAGGGAGATGCTCTCAATCACTGAATCACCCGAGAAAATCCACTTTTATGATATACCCCAAGCAAAAGTTAAAGATGTGCCCCAAAATGTATGTATAAAGGCATTATAGAAGCATTGTTGACAATAATCAAGACCTGGAAACAAAATGGATCATTTATATAAATCATGGTATACAATGAAACAGACAAATGTCAAAATCTGGTGGAAGCATACTGACAATGAAAGATGTAAAGATGTTTATAGTATATTGTTGACTGTGAAAAGTCAAAGTTTGAACAGTGTAAAATTTATACACATTAACACATGTGTGCACTCTGATATATATGATAAATATATGCCAAATGATTAAATGTTATTATTTCTACGTTGTTGGGAAACAGATAATTTTTATTTTCTCCTTTTAACGTTCTATAATTTCAACATTTTAAAAAATAATGAGCTTATTTGTACAAATGAAGATTCGGTGAAATCCTTGAAATCCTTGAAGCTGACCCAGGGCAGTAGGATGTACCTTAAAACACCCACTGGCAAATATCGAAGAGAATTGAAGTGAAGCTCAGCATCCAGGAGGTGAGCAAACAGATTTTGGTGCTGGCTTCCCACAGCGTAGCCTTGGCATCATCCTGCCCTTTGCAGGGCTGTGGTCACCGAACCTCCAGCACTATCACATCTGTCTTCTTAAGGACTTTCATGAACTTTTATGTGAACCCATTGTACTTAACAGTGGCTAGCAGAAAAGGAAGGGTCATCAACAATTAAGTCCTGGCCTTCTGCCAGGACACCACAATTAAAGTGGCAACACCCACTCTGGACTAGAGCAGAGTTGATGCCTACAGAAAATATGGAAAATACCTGACCCTCCACGAACCTCATTTACTC